TCGATGGGTCTCGTGACAGATCGGCCGCTCGGAGTTGGGAGGGGGCGGTGGCCATATGGGATCTAGGGCAAGATGGGGTCTCTGGGATGTGTTGGCCATGTTGGCATGGCCATGTGGGATCTAGGCTAAGAAGGCGTCTCTGAGATGCGTCAACCATGTTGGCATGGCCATGTGGGATCTAGGCTAAGAAGGCGTCTCTGAGATGCGTCAACCATGTTGGCATGGCCATGTGGGATCTAGGCTAAGAAGGCGTCTCTGAGATGCGTCAACCATGTTGGCATGGCCATGTGGGATCTAGGCTAAGAAGGCGTCTCTGAGATGCGTCAACCATGTTGGCATGGCCATGTGGGATCTAGGCTAAGAAGGCGTCTCTGAGATGCGTCAACCATGTTGGCATGGCCATGTGGGATCTAGGCTAAGAAGGCGTCTCTGAGATGCGTCAACCATGTTGGCATGGCCATGTGGGATCTAGGCTAAGAAGGCGTCTCTGAGATGCGTCAACCATGTTGGCATGGCCATGTGGGATCTAGGCTAAGAAGGCGTCTCTGAGATGCGTCAACCATGTTGGCATGGCCATGTGGGATCTAGGCTAAGAAGGCGTCTCTGAGATGCGTCAACCATGTTGGCATGGCCATGTGGGATCTAGGCTAAGAAGGCGTCTCTGAGATGCGTCAACCATGTTGGCATGGCCATGTGGGATCTGGGCCAAGATGGTGTCTCTGGGATGTGTCGGCCATGTTGGCATGGCCATATGGGAGTTATGCCAAGAAGGTGTTTTTGGGATGCGTTAGCCATGTTGGCATGGCTATGTGGAAATTATGCCAAGATGGCGTCTCTGGGATGCGTCAACCATGTTGGCATGGCCATATGGGAGCTAGGCCAAGATGGCGTCTCTGGGATGTGTCGGCCATCTTGGCATGGCCATGTGGGAGTTAAGCCAAGAAGGCGTCTCTGGGATGCATCGGCCATGTTGGATCTAGGCCAAGATGGCGTCTCTGGGAGGCGTCAGCCATCTTGGCATGGCCATGTGGGAGCTAGGCCAAGATGGCGTCTCTGGGATGTGTCAGCCATCTTGGCATGGCCATGTGGGAGCTAGGCCAAGATGGCGTCTCTGGGAGGCGTCAGCCATCTTGGCATGGCCATGTGGGAGCTAGGCCAAGATGGCGTCTCTGGGATGTGTCGGCCATCTTGGCATGGCCATGTGGGAG